GGCAGGGGGTTGGGCTGGGTGACCCACAGAGGTCCCTTCCAACCCCGACCATGCTGTGATTCTGTGATTCTGAGCTGGACAGAAAAGCTGTGTTCCCCCCCCAGAGCCTGGCCTGGCCTGCACCCCGTGCCCGTAGGTGGCTGCTGGTCGTGGAGATGGCCGGGCTGGGGAGCGCTCCCACATCGGACTGAGCCTTGGTAAGCCTGGCCTCGCGGGCCGAGTGCTGGAAGCTGCTGGAGCCCTTCGGATCAGCGCAGAGGAAGGCCGTCCCGTTGGAAGCCTTGCTCCCGCCGGGAAGCGCAGGCACGTGGTGGAGAGGCAGGCTGCTGCGTTTTGAGGCTCCGCTGATCCTCGGTGTGGTCGTGTGGCTCCCGCCGTCATTTGGGCTGCCGCAGAGGGGAGCTGCATCCACTGAGACGGGGCCGTCTCTTTAAAGCAGAAAAAAAGTTTAGTGCTTTTTTATTTCTTCAAAGTTCCGAATGATGGTAGACTAGAAGGAAAAAAAAAGCATGTGTTCTTAGTCCTTATCCAAAACATCTTTTTCCTAGTTAGTTCTGCTGTTTGTGTTGGTAGCGATGAAGTTATCGTGCGGGTCCATCACGTACTCAGTAGTGAGGCAAAGACAAAATAATTTTTAAAACATAGCGGCGTGTTGTCAAAGTACGAAGCTGATTCCAGATGAAGCGGGTTGTCGTTCGGGTTTAGACGGTGTTGTTTTAGCTCCCTGTATCGCTTTTTCTCAGTCTGACAAACGGGAGATTTTTGTCAGCCTGCGGAGACTGGCAGGAACTGTGTGTTCGGAGAAGTGCCGGGTCTCTGTGAAGTAGAGGGATGGCTTTTAGATGAACATAGAGTTGAGTGCCCTCCCTTACCCCTCGGCTGCTGATTTACCCGGTAATAAATATGTTTTTGGGTGATGCTTTCACTTCTGCACACTCCTCCCACGCCCGGGTCTCTAGCATAGCTGGTGCGGCTGCTGAAACGGAGCCCTCGGTTCCCCCGAAAGCCGTTAGAACTGGGGCTTCCGGAGAAGTCACGAGGGAAGGAACTGGGGGTGAAAGTGGAGCTAAGCCAAGGTAGCTGGGAACCGATCGCGGTTAGGAATTGTAAGAGAGCTACGAGCCCCGGGCAAACAGATCCCTGTGTAAAGATGCCGGTTGTTATTGATTTCAGGTTGACTCCTACGGGAAATGCCTGCAGAACCGTGAGCTCCCCAGCGAGCGACTGAGAGACACTGCCACAGCCACAGCGGAAGACGCTGAGTTCATGACGTTCATTGCCAGGTACAAGTTTCACCTGGCCATGGAGAATGCCATCTGCGATGACTACATGACGGAGAAGCTGTGGCGTCCGATGCACCTGGGCGCCGTCCCGGTGTACCGAGGCTCCCCAGCTGTGCGGGACTGGATGCCCAACAACCGCTCCATCATTCTGATAGATGACTTTGACAGCCCCCAGGAGCTGGCGAAGTACCTTGATTTCCTGGACAAGAACGGAGAGGAGTACATGAAGTATCTAGAGTATAAAAACGTTGGTGGAATCACAAACCGGTTCTTGCTGGAGAGCTTGGAGAGGCGGGAGTGGGGTGTGAATGACATGACCCTGCCCAACTACCTGAACGGTTTCGAGTGTTTCGTCTGCGACAGGGAGAACGCCCGCTCCAAGGAGGAGCGGGAACACAAGAAGTCTCGGGGGAAGAGTCCAGCCCCCAGACCTCGCATTGCTCAGTTCAAGCACATGGGATGTCCTATGCCCACCCCCGGGTTTGGAAGTGTTGAAGACCTCTCTGGAGGAGACAGGTAACGTACCAATACTGTGCTTTCTGAGGGAAAAAGGGTCCAGAAAACAGTAGCTGTAACTTTTAATGATTCTTCGTACTTAAAGGATCTCTTGGTATGTCTCAAGCTACACTTTCTGTTACATCTGGTGGGTGGTTTGGTGGTTCTGCTAATGCCACGTCACACTGGGGCTGAGAAGAGCCTTGGAGGACGGTGTCGGTTCGTGGTGGAATGAGGAGCACGAGACCCCCATGATACTCTGTTAAAACGCTCGGTGACCTTGGGCAACATGGATCAGCCTCGCCTCTTTTTCTGTGGAGGAGGGATGTTTCTCCCTATGGCAATGGTAGAGCATAGAAGAAGCTCTATACCTCATCACAGAGCGCTGTGTTAAGGACGGGGTTGCCGCTGTCTGGCTCGGGCCTGGTGAACTTCAGAGCAGAAGCTAGGCTCACCCAGGATGCTTCACAAGACTTTTTGTTGGTTTGCGTGACGAAACGCAGGCTGGTGTTGAAGGACGCCATCCCGTTCATTCAGGAGAGCGGCCGTGCAGGACAGAGAATAGGTTGCGTGATTTCTTGTCCGCGTTGTGGACCGGGATTTTTGGAATCTCCCGGGCCCGTGGCCCAGCGTTAGCCATCTCTGGCACCAGCTGCCCCGGAGCCTGCCAGCGGGGAACGAACCACCCCAGCCCTCAGGCAACCACTTCTGACAGGCAGAACAGGGTTTTGGCTGCACAGTCTGCTTAGCCCGTAGTATTTATACACGCGTTGGTGCGAAACAAGCTGGTGCTTGCGTTCCCAAACCCTGAGTTTTTCCACTGACGCTGTTCGAAGCTGCAGTTGCTGGAAGGAATCACAGAATCACAGAATGGTCGGGGTTGGAAGGGACCTCTGTGGGTCACCCAGTCCAACCCCCTGGGTCACCCAGAGCAGGCTGCACAGGATCGCGTCCAGGTGGGGTTTGGATATCTCCAGAGAAGGAGACTCCACAGCCCCTCTGGGCAGCCTGGGCCAGGGCTCCATCACCCTCAGAGGGAAGAAGTTCTTCCTCATCTTCAGCTGGAACTTATTCTGCTTCAGTTTGTGCCCGTTGCCCCTTGTCCTGTCACTGGGCACCACTGAAAAGAGTCTGGCCCCGTCCTCCTGACACGTTCATAGCTATCTTGTCACTAAAGATTTCGACGTTCTGATGTCAGCCCCACTGCAGCATTGAGTGAATGACTTTGTGAAAGTATCGGGAAGCTCTCATGGATTGTCTGGGAGGAAGCTGTCAATATACTCTCTCCCAGTTTATACCAGTTTACAGCTTTGTTGATAATTTCTGAGATGAATCAGTCAAATGCTTAGGAGTGTTAAAATGTTAGAAGAAACAGTGTCCTGAAAATGTAGAATCCATCATTTCAGGTACAGTAACCCAGAGCGAAGTTCCATGTGGATATGAAGCTCTAAAAGGGTTTTCATTAGGTCACCCATCCATGAAGAAGTGCGAAGAACTTTATAAGTGTGGGGAACTCCTTCTTCCTACATTTGGATGCTTTCGGAAATGGCCAGCTGAGATTTAAAAAGGAAAATAAGCCTGAGGTCATTTCTTTGGGAAATGTCTCTTTCGCAACACTTGCAATGTTTGCCATTGAAAAGCATTTTTCACAATACAATTCATTCTCATATTGACTAATTGAAAAATTGTGCTTGTAGGTAAAAGTGGCCCGTAATCCTTTGCTTTCTCTTTGTTGATTCATTTACTGGAGCTTTTTTATGGTAATACCTTTTCTCAGTAGCAAAACGTGCTTTTCCCTTGTAGCGTGCCGTGCAGCGCCCTACTCCGTAAGAGTATTCTGTGCTTTTTCATGGGTTTTTCTTTTGCTTGAGCAGCAGATGGCAGCAGCGAAAGACCTCTGAAGGCACAGGGTGCCGGTGCCCCTTGTGCACTCAGGTACTCCGTCATTCCGTGCAGCGGTCATCAGTGAGGGGTTTTGAACAGCTGGTCCGTTAATCCCAGCTGCGGCTGCATCCCATGGGCGTTTCCGTGTCTCACTCAGCCGTAGCGTGTTATTCTCCGCGTGTTTAAAGACGAGATGCGTCTGGAAAAATGGCACCAGGGAAGCTTTCACGTTGTCTGCTGTCTCCTTTAGAGTGATATGCATCTGCACCTTCTGAGGCGTAGCTGAGGGGATCTCCAGTGAAACATGGTGGCTTCTATCTCGGAAGCGTCTGAGCTTTCACCGTTTTTATCTCCGAAATGGAGCATAGAATGGAATGAATCACAGAATGGTTTGGGTTGGAAGGGACCTTGAAGATCATCTGGTTCCAACCCCCCTGCCATCAACAGGGACATCTTCCACCAGCCCAGGGTGCTCAGAGCTCCATCCAACCTGGCCTTGAGCACTGCCAGGGAGGGGGCAGCCACAGCTTCTCTGGGCAGCCTGGGCCAGTGTTGATTACCTAGAATTGTAAAGGGTGTGACAGTAGCGTAAAATTGCCACCAAAGCGTTAGCTAAATGTGCTCGGATTTTGTCAGGGTTTGACAGCAATGTCATGTCAGCAGTACGGTCAGTTTGGCTGGCTGGCTGCTGAGCCAGTCAGTTGCGTGTTTTGTGACTTTAGAAAACATTGTGGAAAAACGAAGCAGGCCTGGTGGTGTTACAAGTGATAGAATATACGTAGCATACAAGGTCTAGCTATAAGCATACACTGAGGTTCTGGGTTCTGAAAGCTTCTGGAACCCAGAGAACAACAAATTCAGTGGGAGTTTTATGTATTTTTAGAGCAAGTACCCAGTTACAGTGTGGTTACCCTGCACACCGGCATGCTCTGTAGCCCTTATTCCCAGGCGTAATTTGTTTTGAGGCTTCATGAAGGTGCTGAACAGACGGAATTGTTACATCAGAATCTCTGTGTAGGTACACGTAGCTGGAGCACGTTATTGTACCTTCACCTGCTGTCCTTCAGCTCTGAGTGTGGAGATGTGGTTCCTAAACCCTGATGCTTGCAGCCTCACTGGTGTTTGGACTTTGGGGCTTCACACCCAAGCTATAATCTGTTGAATTCTTGGCGGCTTTGTACAGAAACTAGTGAGTTACAGTGCTCGCGATGAGCAGAATATCTGTTTCGTAGGAAGCGGAATCTCCAGTTATTCTTGGACTCTCACCTTTGTGAAGAGAAACGCATGGTTTCTTTCACTGATGAGGATTCATTTTCCGTAACTATAAATAGTTACCTTGTAGATAACTGTAAGAAGACTGAGCGGCAGTACCTTTCCAGTTACCTAAACAGTTTTCATCTGTGGTAGCATGAGAAAAGAGAAGCCAGTGTGCCTTTGATAAAGGAACATTTTGAAACCGCCCTAGTTTTGCTAGCTCCATGTGACTGTTCGTGACAAGAGGAAAACCAGCTTAAAAGCACATCGGATTTGCCACGGTGCACTGTGAGGTGTCTCTTGCAATGGAATCCAGCACTGCACCAGGGTGAAAGATAGATCGGTATCTCATGGCAGGAACGTTCCAGGTGGATGTGACTGGTCGCTTCAGGACATTTGTGCAGTCCCGTTCATCCCGGGATACAATGTTTCCAAGTTACAGAGTCAGAGTGAAATGATTTTCTTAAAAACCAATAACAGCAATGTAAAAAGGAAAATACCAAAGTGTTCTTATTCAGTGTTTTTGACAAAAGTCTTCGCTTGGATACTGGGCTTCCCTGCAGTGTTATTTCCATAACGTTCAGCTGGAAAACATTTTCTTGCTTCTGTTACCTACTGCCACTTGGTCGTGTGTCTAGTACTTAATGCGAGTATACTCATTTTCCTAATGCATGCCCTGCTTCAGAGCTGTGAAAAGCAAGTAACTCCTGTTGGCAGTCCTTGAACAAAGGCTGACGAATGTGGCTGGTAAGCAGAGTGAGCTCACAGTACGTCCGAGTGCGGCATTTTACCAAGGAACCTTTCAGCAGGCACATATTTTTTTTAATGCAGAAGTAAGCCTCTGTCTATGATCCTTCCCATTGTAACCTGTGTTAGAAGGTTTATTTTGAGGTGTCTGTTGGTGCGCACTGCAGAGATGTCCCGCCACAGACGACGCTGTTGGCCACAGAAAGCCAGTTCCCGTGGCATGCAGGTCGTATGCTGCTCCACAAAGAAAGCGACGGTGACGTGTTGTGCGTTTCTTTTGGCCTTGCTGCAGTAGTGGGTGAGATCTGCTGCTGGGCAGTGCAGCCAGGCTCGCTTTAATGTGTTATGTGTAGAGCGAACGCAGAAGGCACTCTACTTATTTCTGTGGTTAGGAGGGAGAAGAGGCAAAAAGCCCTGTGTAGAAGTTACCAAGTATTGGGTAACTCATATGGACAGATTAAAAAGGGCATCACGTCTGGTCCTTCTTTCCAAAGTTCGTGATGGGCTTATGTGGCTGGGTGGCAGTTACAATGAAGAAGAGATCGATAAATTATTGCCATACCTTGGTATAATACAAATGAGAGATGTAGTCCACATGACCCTGAATGGGAAGGGAATTGCTGACAGCTGCAGTGATGTAGTCTGTGCTTTGAAAAGAGCGAGACTGTACGCGTTGAAAAAGAGAAAGTCTATAGTCGACCACGTCCTCTGAAGATCAATATTGGAACAGAGTCAGGGTTGAGGGATATAATGGGGTTTTTTTTTGTCTCTCCCATGTATAACCTGAGTTTGTAATGAGTAGCTGTCATTCTCTAACCGTTAAAGGTTTTTTCTGGGGGGGGAAATATTCTTAGGCTGTTATACTGGCCATGGAAGGCTCCTCCCAAAATCATGTGAGGACTCTGTGCTAGATTGTGCTTTAACAGAAGTTTTTCTTCTCTACAATTAATAGTTTAGTCTCTTTGGTTAACACCACAGTTGCATGCTGATACTTCTAGAATGTTGTAAAGCTGAGCTTCTGTTTTCTGTAGAGATCGTACCAAGTTTCTTTAAATGACTTGGAGCACAACGGCACGGTAACGACATGCTTTGTCATGACCGTCTCTGGGCCTGTTTTCCTCTTAGGTGAAAGAAAACAAGCGGTTTCAGTGCTATTACAGCTGCAGACTCGTTTGGTTTTTTAATGGTTTATGGTGGTGTCTCTTTTTTTGTTTCAGTTGGAAAGAGATGTGGCTGCAGGATTATTGGCAGAGCCTTGATCAGGGTGAGGCCCTCACTGCTATGATTCATCGCAACGAGTCGCATCAGGGAAGATTTTGGGACTATATGCATGAGATTTTTCGCAAGAGGACGAGGCAACACTGACCCATCTGTGTAAGAGCTTGATTTGAAAATTGCATTGGAAGGTGAGACTGCAAAGTCTTCTCTCGCTCCAAATCTTTGCCTTGAAACAGGTGAAAAACTCTCACACACAGAGACTATTTTTTCTGGTGCGTGAAGTGAGTCAGTGTCTGTTACGACTGGATTTCAAAGGCAGAGATCGCAGCAGCTGCTTCGGTTTGAATTGCGGCTCTGTGGTGTGAAGCCAGTCCTGACTTGCAGGTGTCAGCGTGGGGGGCAAGAGAGGAATGTGCTCTCCTTTTCCATTTGGTATCATTTCCTTGTGGCTTACATGACTTCGGAGGAACGCCTCTGCAGACTCTTGCTCGGACGCCCTAAGTTATTTCAGGGATTTTTGTAATCGCCAAAACATTAATCATTTTTTATAGGTATTTTATGAGTCACTTATTCTCCTCATTAAGGTGTACTTTTAGCTGCTGTTTATAAATAGCTTTTCCAGTGAAGGCATTGTAAAAGACAAATGTCTGTGGAGAGCAATCGTGCCTTATGAAATTGCAGCAATAAAGTCTCTTCTCCCCCAGTAAGTGTGCCTCAAACACTCCTACTTTTCAGGGCAGTGGAATAGCTATGGGCAGGTCCCTTGCTCTCTGCCTCATTCTCCTCTTTTGTTAACTCTCCAGGTGATACCTACGATGGGAAGAGAGACTAAATAATTTCATTCACAACTTTCAACAAAGTATTTCATGCCAGAAAGTGTATTACCTGGTGTTGTGCAGAGCTAGAGTAAAATTAGTACGCTTTGGTTCTTTTAAGTTTCCATCAAAGCTGAAATCCCAGCTATAATCTTGACTTCTTGTTATCTCCTTGATACCAGCAACTCAGAGGCCTTTGGTTTGTTCTTTTTGAGTATCTGCAGCTTTCTGCAAGGACAAGCACATTCTAAGGATGGTGCCTTTCCGCTGGTCTCTGCAGTCTGGACACAAACCTTGCAGTCTTGCTGTGTGGAAGCGGTTGATCAGAATCAGGCGCACCGAGCTGGTTGTGTATCCCCACCGCATCTTCAGACAGTGTGATCCTGCTCTGTGACTGGAGTTCCTAACAGCGGTGACATGTGGATGGATCTTCCTTGTTCTGCAGCAGCTGGAGAAGAATCACAGCAGAAATGCTCCTCTTCCACCTTGGTGGAGGGTAGCTTTAACTGGCGTGGAAGAACAAATAACTCCTAAAGGTCTGGGAGCAGGAGAAATTGGATTGAAACACAGCCATCAGGGACATGACTGTTTAAGCAGGCCGTGCGATGTTAGACAAGCAGCAATCTGCCTCCCTCACCATCCTCGCATACGCACTCTGCAGCCATTGCCCCAAGAGAGCCACTCCCTTAATGATTAGCTGTCATCTGTTTGGTTGGATTTAATTAAGGTTGTTGATGGATCTCCAGGCACCTTCTGAGAAGGTGTATTAATCGGAAACGTACAGGGTGGCAGGTTCCTTCATTCTGCCCAGAGACCTCTACTGAGAGGCTGAAATTAATCAGAGACAAAATCCTTTTAGCAATACGACCAGCTGAGCCAAAGCCTGGGTCAGGCGTTAACAAACTGCGCTTCTCTTATGATGCAGTGTCTCGGAGCTGGCAGCGAGAGATACATGGCCCTGCAGAGAGATTAGGGAGGGCGGAGAAGAGCGGAACTGCAGGGCTTGTTCAGGGCTCTGACATGGCTGGCATCTTAATTTATACCCTCTTCTGTGCCTTCTTTCCTGCAGAAAACGCCCATCTAATGCTGAAGTGTCTCAGCTAGAGGTGGTTCTGGGGATCCTGGAACGGATCAGAGCAGATCATGATACTTTGTGGTGTCTCTGAGCAAATAAGGAGCCATGAGGTAATTTGCAGTGGACATGGGCTGGGTTTGAGCAGATCTGGGAGTTAGGGATTAGGGCTGGCAGCTCAGAACTAGTCAGGTGGATGGAGTAATGCAGCGCGGCTGATCGGATTGCGATCGCCCAGGATAAGGTCAGCTAGCCACTGGAGCTGGGGCGGGGGGTGACACCTCACAAGAAACTGTATCTGTCGTGCTCATGAATGCAGGTGTGCTAAGAAAGTGCATGAAGTGCTAATACTGTCCAAACCCAACAGCTCAGCAGACAGGAGCAAGTCTGAACCCGCTGGGATCTTAGCAAACCAGTTAGTTTCACTACTAAAGGTGAAGTAGGGGTGCCTTAACTTTTCAGGCATCTCCAATTAGACTGGAGTTCAAGGAGGTTGGGGTGAGACAGCTGAGAATAAATTGTGGTAGGTGAGGGTATTAGGAAGTCCTGTGAGAAGCGTTGGGGCATTCAGGATAAACTTGGGTGAATATACTGGAATCTGCCCGAAAGCTGGATCCAAGCCCTGCAGAAAGGCAGAGATATCAACTCGACTAATTTCTCCCAATATAGCGGGTTTCTTAGCCTCATCCCCTAACTGGTTTTTAGGCAGTGTCTGGAGGTTTTACATAGTTACTCCAGAAAGCAAAGGATCCGTGGTGTGATTTCTCACCTCTTAAAGAGGTGTTTAAGACAACAATCCCATTTTAGGGGTGTATTTATTACAGCATTGTTAGCATTGTATTTCATTGTGGCGTAGCATTTACTGTAGCATCATAACTGCCTCTTACTCCAGTTGTGATATCAATTCTTTCCAAGTCTAATACTAATAGTTTAATCTCTGTGGTTCATTTTGGTTTTGACTAGCTGAAACGCAGGCGAGGATTCAGCTTTAACTATGTCGATCCAAGTAAAGCAGTTGTAAATGCAGTTAGAATTTTACACGTTCTTTATAGTTGTACATCCAGGATTCGCAGTGAAGCATGTGCGGGGTTCACTCGTCAGTGTGTTGAGGGAGCTGGGTTTCTCAAGTCGGAGCTTCTGTCCCATCCATTAGTGTCTCTGTGCTGTCAGCTGTGCAAAATGCAGGCTATCGAGAGATTTGGCTGTCGAGTAACACACCTCTTCTGTAGTTCCACATTCTCCCTCGAAACCGGAGTTTGTGTCTTGCTTCAGGCATCTCTGCATGGTGTGTGCAGACACCATCAGGGGCGTTATTCTGTCTGCTCGGGAATTTCTTAGGCCGATGCTCCAGTCCCAGGCTGAATGCCAAAAAGAAAGGAGATTCTAATGCAGACAGCAGTAACTTACAGGAAGATATTACAATTCTCCTTGTGTAGCTTGTCTTTCTCAGCCTCCCCTCCTCTCTCGCGCCCACCCCCCGCCCTGTTTTTCTTGGAATTGCTTGAAAGAGAGATCAGCTTTTGAAGGTGAATGTACCTGAAGGTGCTGCCACCATTAGCTAATGGAATTTGGAAAAAGGGAGCTTGATTTACAGGGAGTGCAGTTCAGCTGCTCTTACGTCCTGGTATTTGTGTCTTCCCTTTTTATTGCCCTTGTGCAGGACTAGTTAGTAACTGCAGCAGGCAAATGCGGCAGGGAAAAGTGCGTATCGGTAGGAGTAACTGGAAGAGGCAAAACCAAGAGTAGCTGAACCTCACGTCAACTGGAATACTGAAAAGTACTTCAGCTCCGTTCTGAATTTGCAAGACCTCTGATCTGTGGAGTTGCAGGATGCGAGCCCTCTAGCCTAAATTTGATGGTGTCAGCTTGTTTTCCTTCTTCTCCACTGGCAGCCAAGCTAGAACGGTAACTCGTTTCCTGTCCCATCAGAAAAAATGGAAGCAGAGAAACAGCCCTCTTACCAAAATATTTCAGAACCTCCAGAAAAACTGTTTGGATTTGGACGTAAAGAGATAGAAATTTGCTCCTAAAGAGAGCCAGAGGAAATCTTTTGTTTACTTGAAAATGTCTTCTCATTCTCTTTAGTGATGCAGTAAATTCAAGTATTGGTGCTGAGAATATTCTGGTAGGGGTCTGGCTCAAGGTAACAAGATTTCCAGTGTGTTGTTAACTTCCTTGACTAGGCGGAGGCAAGGGTAGTGCTTTGGGTTTTATGTCTGTAGCTAAGAGGCTGAATACATTTTCGTCCAAAGCAATGTCCTATGCAGAATGATTGTCCCCAGCGTCTCTGGTTTGGCCTTCTGTACGTGGTCAGAGAACGCCAAACATACAGCTGTTCCTGGGGAAGAAAACTGATTCTTCCCGTGTCCTCCGGTACACAGGGGAAATCGGTGCCTGAAGGAGCCCCGATACAGTGGTAAGGTGGCTTATTCAGTGGCTGCTACGTGACAAGGATCTGAGTGTTTTAGGTCTCTCGTCCAATGTCTCATTCCTCGGCTCCCTGGATCTGCCTTGTCCCTCATGCTGTGCAGAAAGCTCTCTGTACCCCAGCCCTTGGGATGCTTCTGCGCCTGCTGTATTATCTGCCTTGATGTAAGGGCTCCACAACCAGCCAGGACTTCCAGGGATTTAAATCCTACACTAGGAAAAGAAACTCCTGGGAACAACGGGATTCTCCGCTACCGCGTGTGAGGCTGTGAGAACACCACTACCGTTTCAGAAGAAGCATTTTCAGTATCTTCTTGGAAGACAGAATAGGAACATCGGCAAACAACGCAGGGGAGATCCAGCTGCTAGCATGTAATGGGCTGAGAGTGAAGTGATGCTGAGTTTCGAGCACCAAGAAAAGCCTCCATACAGTTGCAAAAGAATTCCTGAAGACCCATTTGGATTATTTGAAACCATCATGATTTCTTCTACTCTGGTCGAAGCATGTATGCTCCTTCATTACAGAATCACAGGATGGCAGGGGTTGGCAGGGCCCTCTGTGGGTCACCCAGCCCAACCCCCTG